AAGGTGATGATCATTTCCAATGCAAAATCCTACGCTGAATTCAATGCCGTGGTCAGAAAAAATTAAAGTAGAGCCAGTTTTGAGATATACAAAAAATTTGATTTTTTGAATTTTGGACAAAAGTACGATTACTAAAATGTCAATATCTTTGGAACTAGTGCACCAATTTTAAATTTTTTTTTATGAAAATGAAGCTAAATAAATTTGCTATCGTTCACTGGAATATTGTGTCTTAATTAAAAATTTAATTTTGAAGTCATTTAAAAATTTACAGCATTTTTTTTTTATTTTTCCTGCGAATTTTCCATAAAAATCTTGTTTTAATCAACATTTTTAATGGGATAAAAAGATTCAAAAAATCACTTCATAATTTATTCTTAAAGTCCATTCAAAACCGGAGAAAATGAGCCTTTAATGGATGAAATCGGTTGGAAATTGTCGAAGTTATGAGCATTTTTGTAAAACACTTAAAAATGTTGCTGAAATACAACAGCTTTAGAGTTCCTTTTCTAGGTGTCGTTGTAAGCATCCAAATCGCATGTAAAGTTTTCATGGGAGATTTTTTTCTCTACATATCAATTTGATTAAGGCATATCAGGATTTAAAACCGAGTTGATACAAAAGAAATTTATTTAGGTTTTATTAAAAATTATTGAGAATCGAAAGACTTTGTCTTCGATGTTTTGATCTTGTTTCTCGAATCAGAAACCAACAATAGTCACCCATCATTGCTTCATCCCAAAACCCTTGGTAACGACGTTCCATCATCTTCATTTGTTGGTGAAACCGTTCGCCGTGCTCATCACTCTCGTCACCAAGATTTTCCGGGAAAAAATTCATGTGAGAATGTAGGAAATGTAAATTCAAAGACATATTCACACCTGTTTTCAGTGAAATAAAAGGATTTGAAATAAATTATATGCAACAAACACAATATTTTTGATTTATTTTCTCATAATTTTTGAGCAATTCATCGACAGCTTCCTCATAATCTGGGCTTCGGAAATTTCCTGAAAAGGTTGTGACAACACGCTTGAACGATTTCCACGCTTCTTCCTCATCTGATGTCAAAACTGTATTGAATGCGGAATCATTCAGCAGTTTTTTGATCAGTGGGCCAACAAATGCACCTTCCTTTATCTTTGCGTCAGATAAATTTGGAAATACTGATTTCAAGTACTGGAATGCCGGCCCTTCTTTTTGCAACGCTTTGACGAAATTTTTGAATAGCCCAAGTTTTATATGTAGTGGTGGAAGTATTATGCGTTCTTTTACCACAAGAGGATCATTTTTAACGTTGTCTTTACCAATTGTGAAATTATCCCGTTTTGGCCAATCTTTTCGGACGTAGTGTTCCTTACGAGCTCGACTGTCCCATTTACACAAAAAACACATATATTTTGTGTATCCCTGTTGCAATCCAGTCAACATGGCAACCACTTTAAGATCGGAACAAATTTTCCAATTGTGTTGATTGTAATTTATCAAATTGAGCAATAGAGCCATTCATTCATACGTTTCCTTCATATTAACGGCATGAGCTAATGGAATAGAAGGTTTCTCATTCCCTTGATGCAGTAAAACGGCTTTCAAGCTCAACTTGCTGCTATCGATGAATAAACGCCATTCAGCTGGATCATATGGCTCACCAAACTCTTCAAACAAGCCGTTTACGTCATGGCAAAAACATGCCTTGTCCTTTGTAGAATAATATTTGTCAAATTTCTTGTGACGATTCCTGTGACAAGAAATGTTGACCTCCTTGCTCAGCATGTTGTGTTCTTTCAAGCGTGATGCCAGCACTTCGGATTTCTCCTTCGATAAGTCGAGATCTCGCACCAAATCATTAAATTCGGATTGTGTAAACAGTTTTGGGTTTCTTTCCAATTCTACCTCGAAGTCTTCCTCACATTCCTCCTTGAATTCCTCCTCACTTTTTGTAACGGTCGATTCAACAGAGGGATAAACAGGATACGGGACCGAACTTGAATGTGGAACAGGTTTTGTCATAGAAGCCACTTGTGGATACTCAACTGTTTTGTGACGCTGTACATAAATTGTTTTTATGAAAGTTATTCAAAAAATCAATTTACCTTGCGCCTGACATTCACCTAGCCAAGCACGTTTTGCACGAACTACATAATACTTTTGGAATCCACGGTTCGTCAAAGTCTCCAGGATCAATTTTAAAATAAAGCCTGTATGCAGTTTGCAACGAAGCAGTGAAATTGACCGATTTTGTAAATATATAGTTACCACACGCGTAACAAAACTTTTGAGGATCATTTTTACACTTGAATTCACGTTTTGTCGTATACATCGTTAAGCAATGTTAAAGAAAGAAAGCTGTCAAATTGAGTTGGTTGCGTTAGGTTCTCGCCGAGCGGTCTCACAAACACTAGCGTAAATTATATTGTTGAAAATATCCCATTTAATTTTGCGTGACAGCTTGTAGTGTTAGTGAAATGCACCGTATGCGTACACGTCCGCAGAAAGGCTTACTGGAAGTGGTGCATGAACCTAGGAGCGGGACAACGGCCAATCTTGGAACATTCAATTTCCATGATTTTACAAAAAAAATCATAACTTCGACAATTTCCAACCGATTTCATCCATTAAAGGCTCATTTTCTCCAGTTTTTAATGGACTTTAAGAATAAATTATGGAAGGATTTTTTGAATCTTTTAATCCCAATAAAAATGTTGATTAAAACGAGATTTTTATGGAAAATTCGCAGGAAAAATAAAAAAAAAATGCTGTAAATTTTTCAATGACTTCAAAATTAAATTTTTAATTAAGACATAATATTCCAGTGAACGATAGCAAATTTATTTAGCTTCACTTTCATAAAAAAAGATTTAAAATTGGTGCACTAGTTCCAAAGATATTGACATTTTAGTAATCGTACTTTTGTCCAAAATTCAAAAAATCAAAATTTTTGTATAACTCAAAAATGGCTCTACTTTAATTTTTTTCTGACCACGGCATTGAATTCAGCGTAGGATTTTGCATTAGAAACGTTGGTCAACCCCTAACGTTCACACTTTTTATGTTGTTTTGTAAACTAGTGTAATCGTAGCGTTCATGGTTCAAATCAGGTCTGCAACTTCTTATTTTTATATGTGATTTATTGCTCTCAGCGATCAAGTGAATATTACCCATCTAAGCGAAAATGATCCATAATTAAGAACCAAAACAACAGTTATGGTTCTTCTTCTTCTTCTTCTTATTTCTTCGCAAAGCAGTGGTAGTGAAAAGACAATGCACCGGTTAAAATAGATCAAGTTGACTTGGTATTTATTTTTCGTTCGTCGTATTAAATCGTATTCGCGTTGTTGGGATTGATTTTTCGCACACAGGGTGATATGGAATTTTTCAGTGTAGCGAGAGAGTAAAGAACAATCTGCCATTTTTCACGCAAAAATGACAGTTGTTTATGGAATTTTCCGTTGGCGTAACGCCGTTTTGCAAGTTTTGAGTGCCAAATGGGAGATGAAAAAAACATTTTCGTTTGTTTTCAGGTAGATATATTTTCGAATTTCGGGGGCCTCCCTTAGCTCAGTCGGTTAAGGCGCAGGTACAAAGCAAGACCATGCTGGAGGTGGCTGGGTTCGATTCCCGTCGAGGAATTTTTCAGGTTGGAAAATTTCTCGACTTCCCTGGGCATAGAGTATGATTGTACTTGCTACACAATTATACTAATGCAAAAATGGTACAGGCATCGAAAGCTCTCAATTAATAACTGTGGAAGTGCATCTAGAACACTAAGTTGTGAGAGCACGCAATAAGCTAATATGCGATATGCAATAAGCTTGAAATGCGAAGAAGAAGAAAGAAGAAGAATATTTTCACATTATACATGGAAGACGATAGTGAATTGTCGGTGAAAAAAGAGAGATGAAAATATGAACGGTTTACAATTCATCGAAATTGAGCGATATTTCGCACGCGGGGCGAGACTTTGCGAAGATACGAGAGAGAACTCCGCTCCGTTAATGCATGCTCAGATCTGAATACACTATTATCATGCAGCTGAGCGATAATTTCGATTTTTGGCCATACATTTTTCCTGCATTACAACACTGAAAACGAATCTTACTCAGAGAGTGAGCCACTTTTACTCATCCGGGTGAGGAATTTTTTAAAAGCGTAGGTTACGCATGCGTTGAGTTACCTACGCTTTTAGAAATTTCTTTATACGAATGAGTAAAAATTACTCACAATTAAGTAAAAGTTACTCACTCTCTGAGTTAGTTTCTTTTTACTTTGCAATGCAACGAACATCCCTTTTCAGCACTCGGCAGTCAAACGATGACTACAGTCAAATTTCTACGTTTCCGTTACATAAGCACTTAGATTAGCATTCTAAGTCCCATTTTTTTCTGTATTTTACTAATGTACGCCAATGAATAGAAAAAAGCAAAGACAGTAAAATAACATTGAGTATTGAATGGTACCGGCTTGTCTCTCTGTTCTCTCGATAGTCAAAGCAAGCGAGCACGTGATTGGTTTATTACGACTAAACACAACATTTTTCAATAGTTAACCATTGATTTACAACTATCTTCTTTATACCAAACAAATCTTACATTTAATCTGAATAAAATGGTTTAGTTAAAATTGAATTTCATTCATAAATTACCATGATATTAGCATTCAAAGCCTGACACTATTTCGTCACACTTTTTTAACTGATGAACTAGGGTGCAATAGTATAGTCCACAAAGACGTACTCCAACGTCAAAACCCAAATTAGCAACTACCGAAATGAAAGTCAAAATAATACATTCTCAACCTTGATAGCAATGATAGGTGTGCAAACAGGTTGCTAACTAAAATAGCAACTACCTAAGCTGTCAAAATACCAGTCCGAATAGCAACGCACCGGTATGGTTGCTCTAAGTTCACCGATCTGTTTGGACAGTGATGACCCGGTTTTGTCAGCCCCACCACGCATCATACTTGTTGCGAGAGGCAACAGGTGGACAGGGATTTCTTCCGTAAATTTAATATCAGAACCCAGAATTTAGGAGTTCGTAGAGATATTATAATTTTCCTGTAAATAGGTTACATAGTTTGTTATAAGGTAGTTTGTCTATATCTATAAGTGTGTTCGATATTAATTTTATTGTATGTATGTGGTCGGTATCGGTGTAAGCTTTAGCTGTTAGTGTTTTACTCACGTTTAGTCCCCTTTCTGTAGTTGTTTTATTTTATCTGTTTTGAGAGTACTGGCTGCAAGCTGTAATATTTGTATTGTTTAGATTTAGAAGAAATTCTTTTATTTATTTCCTTACCGCGATTCCAACTTTGTAGGCTAGTTTTTAGGTTAGATAGTAGCACTATTTAGCAGTAGTACCCTAAAAGCTATTAATTTAGGTTTAGGATAGTTATAGGTTCGATTAAATTTAATTATACTCACTAGATTAGGTAGTAATGTAAGTTCAAATAATAGTAATATTGATAACTTTTAAATCAAACTATATATAATTTAGTATTAAGCAAAACTTTTACACCGCACGGCTTTGTGTACTTTCTTGGCTTTATAGTCTTTGTTTTCCTCATCTGACACTTACCCCGATCGATGATAGACCTACCAAATTCTCGTTGTCATTTAGCCGTCACAGGCGATCGCATGCCAGGGTTGCTTTCGCTCGATCAAACGAGGGGCCTGCTGGATTGTGGAGATGCGCAGCCAACTAGGGATGGCCAACACTCCCCCCAGGTAAGCCGGACGTCTGGTCGGCTTGCTCCTCTCCGCGTCGAACATCCAGGACCGCCAGTTTGGCCACAGGGCGATCGTATATGCCGGTCGATGTCCTTACTGTAGCTGACCTGATTCGACCATCTTTGCCTGGTTGCGTTGCGATGACTCTACCTTTCGGCCAAGAATTCCGGGGCAGGTTGGAGTCCACGATGATCACCACGTCGCCTCGGTCAATCGGCTTCGAATCGACGAACCATTTCGTCCGTCTTGTAATGTCCGGGAGATAGTCCAATAGCCAGCGCTTCCAAAATTGATTGGCCAGCGCTTGTGATGTACGCCAGTTTTGTTTGAGAAGGGCGCCACTGTCATCCAGCGAGGTAAACGGTTTCGAGCCATCCGACGACCCCAGAAGAAAGTGGTTCGGTGTGAGTGCAGGTGACGACTCGTTATCGATAGGCACGTGAGTGAGTGGTCGGGAGTTCAGCGTGCTTTCAACTTCCGTGAGTAGGCTCCTCAGCACTTCTTCGGATGGCTTCCTTGAAGGGCAGATGGCCATCAGATTTTTCTTCAGGCTCCGGATTAGCCGCTCCCAACTGCCACCCATATGGGGAGCCAGAGGTGGGTTGAAGGTCCAGCTCGTCTCCGTGGTTACGAATTCCTTCATAACCTGTTCGTAGTCGACTGCTTCTTGCAGGTTCTTGAGTTCACGGCTGGCGCCAATGAAATTGGTACCCCGGTCGCTCCGAATAGTCCTTGGAGTTCCGCGTCGGCCCATGAAACTTCTAAGAGCAATTATACATGAGCTGGTGCTTAGCGAGTTGGCCAACTCTATATGGATCGCCCGTGTCGTAAGACAGGTGACGATCATTCCCCATCTTTTCTCCGTTCTTCTTCCGATAACAACTTCCATGGGACCGAAGTAGTCAACGCCGACATGAGTGAAAGGGCGTGTGAAAGCAGCTAGCCGTTCCGCTGGGAGGTCCGCCATGATTGGAGGTTGTGGAATCGAGGACTCGTTTTTGCATCGCTGGCAGCCCTTCCTTGTCGCCGCATACTTAACGCGAATGCGAGGAATGACGTACTTTTGACGAAGTTCGTTCACTATGGCTTCGTGGTTTTGATGGTGGAATTTTTCGTGGTAGTGGGCGATTAACAGGGAGGTAACAGGGTGGTCGTTAGGAAGGATCACTGGGTTCTTCGTTTCTTCGGTGGCATACTGGCAGGCGGCTATTCTACTCCGCATTCGCATTACCCTGCGATCGTCTAACCAGGGTGTCAGCTTGTATAAACGGCTGCTTTTAGGAAGGGTTCTATCTGGTGTATCACTGCGGTTGTTCAAGAAGAAGGCTACTTCATCGGTATAACCTTCTAGTTGAGCTAGGCGAAACAGAAAACCTTCAGCAGCATACAGTTCGTCTCTAGATAGCGGTCCATTTTCAGCTGGCTTGTTTGTACTCCTTCGACGGCAGTTTCCGACAAAACGGTGAACGTAAGCAACCACATTGATGAGCTTCTTCCAGCTAGAGAACTTCGAGACGATAATCATAGGATCGGACAAGGAGAGATGTGCCACGAAGGAGGGTCGTAACTCGTTGTCTGTAGGATCTGACTTCGACGAGACTTTCGGCCAATCCGATTCGCTACGGTAGAGAAAATCGGGACCTCTGAACCACCTGGATTCGGGAGTAAGATCAGGTTGTGTATCCCACTTGGTACCATCATCTGCAACGTTTAGTTTTGTCGGTACCCAAAACCAATCTTCCGCTTCTGTAACGTCGAGTATTTCACTTACACGATGTGCCACGTACGTGCTGTATCGTCGATGATCCGAATTGATCCAGCTGAGCACATCACGAGAGTCGGTCCAGAAGAATTCATGATGTATCGTAGTCTGAAGGGTTTGCGTAACCGACCTTGCTAATCTTGCTCCTATGAGAGCTGCTTGCAGTTCCAGTCGTGGGATGGAGTGGAACTTCAGGGGGGCCACCCTTGTCTTGGCTGCAACTAAAGAGCAGCATACGACGCCATTGTGTTCGAAACGGAGGAACATGGCGGCGGCTATACCGTTTTCGCTGGCGTCTACGAACATATGTAGCTGTACTTTACAGTCACTGGGGATCATCGAAGATCGAAGACACCGTGGTATTCTGACGCTTTCCACCTGCGGCAACACTTTCAACCATCTGGCCCACTTCTCGTACAAGGAATCGCCGATTTCTTCGTCCCATTGAACTCCGGCACGCCACACTTCTTGAAGAAGAATTTTCAAGAACATCAGGAAGTGAGAAATCAGTCCAAGGGGGTCGAAGATAGTCATGAGGACTTGGAGCATCTGACGTTTTGTGGGTCGACAACGACCGGTGAGCAGATCGGGATTGTAGCGATTCCATCCGATTTTGTATACGAATTCGTCGGCTGTTGTGCACCACCACATCCCTAGCACTTTCTCGGTAGCCATCGGTCCCATCGACATATCCATGTTCTTCTCCGTAGTACTGCTTTCGCTCAGCGCGTTTAACACCTGGCGTGAGTTGCTCACCCAGTTGCGTATTTCGAAGCCACCTGCAGAATGTACTTGCCGAACCTCTTGCGCAAGGCGAATGGCATGCTCAGGCGTCTCGGTGCTAAACATCGCATCGTCCACGTAATGCCGCTTCTTTATGACATCAGCTGCCTCAGGAAACTCTCCAGCAAACCGGTCCGCGTTAATATTTTTTACATACTGGGCACTAGCTGGGGAGCAGCTAGCGCCGAATGACATTACATTCATTACGTAGACCTGGATTTTGCCAGTCTTGTCCGTCCAGAAGAACCGCAGACACTGTTGATCTTCCAACCGCATAAGGATCTGGTGAAACATTTCCCGTATGTCCCCAGTGACGCCAACCCGGTATTCACGGAATTGCAACAATATTGCAAAGAGTGAACACAGCTGATCGGGACCTGTTAGCAGCGCAGAGTTCAGGGAAACGCCAAATACTTTTGCAGCTCCGTCCCACACAATCCTTATTTTGCCAGGTTTATTGGGGTTAAAAACTGGAAAGATTGGCAGATACCATACTTTTGGGTAGTGTTTGTTTAACTCTTCATCTGACAGTTGGCGAACATATCCCTTAGCCAGATAATCAGACATCTTCTCATTCAGAGCACTGGCTAACTCCGGATCCTTCTGCATTCGCTTCTCGAGGCCGTAGTGTCGACGTAATGCCATTTCTTTACTATCTGGCAGACGAACACCATCATAGCGCCATAGTAGTCCAGTCTCATACCGGTTACCTTTGAGCTTGGTTAGAGATCGGAGAAGTGAGACGGCTCGTTGATCGTCTGTTGACAGCAGATCTTTGCTCGTTTTCATGATGCCTAGACTGTCCATCGAAAAGTATTCCTTTACCATTTGATGTACGTCTTCGTCGGATTGATGGCTGCACTCGCAAGCGTGGAACGTATAGTGGACAAAGTTTGAGGTATTACTAGTATCACATCCCCCGCATATTGTCCAGCCAAGTCTGGTTTTGACGGCTATAGGTTGTTCCAAACTTCCCTCCTTACTTTTCAGCACCAGGCCAACTGAAGCGTGCTTCAGGCCGATGAGGATTTGTGGACGAACGTTCGTATAGGATCCGATCGGCAAATTTCGACAGTGTGGGTACTGTTGCGCAATTTCCTCCATTTTAAGGGATTGGCATGGTAGTAACAACTCTTTCACCGTTCGAACTCCATTTAGTTGGTACTCCTTAGCGTGGTTCTGCGTACCAGTTATTTTCAGATCCACTACGCGTGAGCTCTTCTCGTTGCGCTCAGTACCACCTGTCCATCGAAGGCAGAGCGGGTTGATAGGGCCATTTAGCTTCAGTTGGTCAGCTAGATCTTGGTCCAACAAAGTCACAGCTGAGCCCTCGTCGAGGAAGGCGTAAGTTTGGACAGCTTCACCGTTTCCGTACAGAGTAACGGGAAGATAGCGGAACAGTACGGCATTTGCAGCGGACTGGTGGGTGTTACATCCATGTGCTGCGCTGGGTCCAGCTTGTGGGGCTGCGGGTGGTGCTGTAGTTGCCGGGTGGCTCGATGCAGGGTGTTGGGATCTGTTGTCGTTATGGAGTAGCTCGTGGTGATAGAACGCACAACCATTTCTTCCACATGGCTTCGTGTCACATCTCCCTTCGTGGCGGCGGAGACAGCGGCGGCATAGTCCAAACTCCCTTACAGCAGCCCACTTGGAATCTCGAGAGAGTTGAAGGAAACGTTTACAGATCGATGCAGACTTGCATCTTCCATCACATACGGGGCAGCTATCGACGCCTGGTGTTGTCTTTTTAGAGCTATCACCGTCAGATTTGTCCTTCGAAGATTTCGGAGAGTTCCCTGTATAGCATTCGGAGTGAGTGTGCAGGAAAGTGCTGGTCTTCTTTGACGAATTGGTTGCGATTTTCGTTGGACAGCTTGGCTGTACTATGGCTGGTATCGTTAAAACACTCGCAGCCTCGGCGAGCGAGAATATCCATTCACCAAATGTAGCTAGGTTTACCCTTGGAAGTTGTAAGCGATATCGGGCCCATTCCAGCTTCAGGGTAGGTGGTAGCTTGATTACTAACTGGTGGAGGAGGGATACATTATACAAATAGTCATCTAATCCACATGCATCTACGGTTGCACAAAAGTTCTGCACCTTGACCGCAAGATCCACTAATGCCTCCAGTTTATCCTCCTTGATCGTTGGAATTGCGTTTATTTTCACGATCAATGAATGAATGATCGCTTCAGGCTGACCATACAGTACTCTTAACGTGTTCATTACACTTGACACGTTCGTTGGGTGCATCAAGCAGCTTTTAACAGCTTCGTACGCCTTTCCCTTGAGGCATTTCTGCAAGCGGATCATGTTTTCCTCGTTTGAGTATCCACACATAGCGGTGGATCTCTCAAACGTTGAAAAGAATATCGGCCAATCCTCAGGGTTCCCAGAGAAAGGAGGAAGATCCTTAGATACAGCTTGTCGAGCAGCGAGTTGGCTATGCGAAGGAGGACAAGTATTGTACCAAGTATTTCGTTGAGTTCGATTAACCGAAGCAGCGGAAGACGTATGCTGTATTCCCGTGGGGAGGAGATTGGGGGCTACCCTGGAAGAACTTCTGACACCACACAGCGGAGAACTGTTTGGGTTTCTCGGACCTGATCGACTAGTGATCAATTGACGTTGGTCTGCATATGGTTCAGAATGTTCTGGTGCACTGATGTTGTGATCTACCCGATTGTGTCCTGCAAGAACTAACCGACGGTTTCCGCCTGCTGGGTTCGGATGAGCGGTGGAGTGTCCATCAGGATTAAATGGTTCTGTTGCACCTCCAGCTACGTTTCCGTCAGCCACCTGGTCGTTTATTTCTTCGACCCACTTTCTCACCCGGCTGCTAGATTCGCTGTGGTTCGAGCTTGTCCGGTCTGTCATTTGCTCTAACAGCTCGTACTTATCCTTCAGATAATCACGGAATTTATCGGCTTGCGCTTCTTCGAAGGCTCGTTCCTCCTCCAACTTCAGTAGCTGCAACTTCAGTCGTGATTGTGATGACACCTTGGAAGATGCTGGCCTTTGGATGGATTCCTTCGTCTTCACTGAATGCGCTTCCTCACTGGCAGGTGCTACTACCACCTTTGGCACCATGTTACGTTGCTCCTGCTGGCTGTTTCGATCCACAGAAGATGGTTTGGAGCTTCTCGTCCGTTCTTCGATGACACTAACCTTAGAGCTGACATGTCCTTCTCGATGATTCGATGACGAAGACTGCAGCTGAGTTTCCTTGGCAGTTTGGCACTCGTGACAAACCCAGCTCTGGTTTTCGACTTCGTTAGTAACGCCCACACACGCAAAGTGGCTCCACTTATCACACCCATCGCATTGGACCATGTCCGTCGTATCAGGATTGTCGCAGTCCTGACACGTACACGCTTGGTTACAGATCTGATCATTCTTGGACGATTTACCCCGACTACCACGATTACCACGGCCGTGCATGATTCAATTCGCTTGCGTAAACGAAAATTATAAAATGTTGCGAGAGGCAACAGGTGGACAGGGATTTCTTCCGTAAATTTAATATCAGAACCCAGAATTTAGGAGTTCGTAGAGATATTATAATTTTCCTGTAAATAGGTTACATAGTTTGTTATAAGGTAGTTTGTCTATATCTATAAGTGTGTTCGATATTAATTTTATTGTATGTATGTGGTCGGTATCGGTGTAAGCTTTAGCTGTTAGTGTTTTACTCACGTTTAGTCCCCTTTCTGTAGTTGTTTTATTTTATCTGTTTTGAGAGTACTGGCTGCAAGCTGTAATATTTGTATTGTTTAGATTTAGAAGAAATTCTTTTATTTATTTCCTTACCGCGATTCCAACTTTGTAGGCTAGTTTTTAGGTTAGATAGTAGCACTATTTAGCAGTAGTACCCTAAAAGCTATTAATTTAGGTTTAGGATAGTTATAGGTTCGATTAAATTTAATTATACTCACTAGATTAGGTAGTAATGTAAGTTCAAATAATAGTAATATTGATAACTTTTAAATCAAACTATATATAATTTAGTATTAAGCAAAACTTTTACACCGCACGGCTTTGTGTACTTTCTTGGCTTTATAGTCTTTGTTTTCCTCATCTGACACTTACCCCGATCGATGATAGACCTACCAAATTCTCGTTGTCATTTAGCCGTCACAGGCGATCGCATGCCAGGGTTGCTTTCGCTCGATCAAACGAGGGGCCTGCTGGATTGTGGAGATGCGCAGCCAACTTTCAATAATTTCACATAACTGTAATAACGAATCTTTCTCATTCATCCTCAAGATGGATGTTTAAGCTATACTTTGGTGCAATAGGATTACTAAAAAAAGCGCATGGGTTTCGTAGAACATTAGAAAAGATTTTATAAAGAGCCTACGGTTGAAAGTCTCGATGATAAAGAAAACTAAACTATCACATCAAAGCCGATGCACTTCAACCACATCGAAAATATGATGTAGGGGAATTTACGTATTCTCGGCAATCTAAGCAGCTTCCGCACTTCTATTAGCATTTCCTCAGTGTCACGCACACATATGACGTGTTTGTTTGTTTACATTTATCTGCTGCTAGCTACTCTATCCATTTCAATCGACAGAACTGTCCAAAACGGTTTGAAAACGTTTTTAAGGCGCTCCAAACTTCTCAGGTGAGTGTGACTATTGTCGGCAGCCTCTTTTACTTCGGCAACCGTTCCGTTTAAACTGTGTGTTAACCAGTTGTTCTATTATCGGCAACTCGAAATCAGCCGTATTTTCATGTGCTTATGTTTCATTTGAAGAAACACCTGACATAACCGGTTTTATCAGTCGTGAAAATGTATTAGGATTGAACCTGAAAGATTAAGGAATCGTTTAAATACATTCAGCGAAGTGTTTTAGTGAGAAAATACAGCGAAATTAACGTTTAAATTGTGGTTGCCGAAAACAGTCGATGGCTGCCGAAGCCATCATTTACCCTACTTTAAAATGTCACGAAATAAAAAAAAAATGTTTTTCGGGCAGGGAACGTGTGAGAAATTGGACGGAATTGAGCACATCGATGTATATTTACTTATCATGTTTGTATGATTTCCGGTTGTTGCGTCATTACATTCCTATTTTGGTGCCAATTTTTCAAAACATCATCTTTAAGGAAAACAGTTTAAGATCTGTTCTATTGTGCTAGCGTTACGTTCATGTTCACATCTGCGAACCCTACATGGTTTTACGGATTTTACTTTTTCAAGTTCGTTTGTGATCAACAAGATTGAAATAATTCTGATTTTTTTTAATAATGCATCTTGATGTAACCAATGATGGGAAATGATTCTCCATTATTCATCTAGTATTTTTCTATAAATTAAAAATTATGTGGTGGGTAAATCATTTTTTTATTTATGTATTTATATATTTATGAAGCGTAGTACAAATAACCACATGTGTTCTCGAAACACGTACTACACTGAGAGATGATCAATTCAGTCTTAACAGTAGTATGTTACATTGATTTTTAAACTTTACATATGGAACAGCATGTTTGTAATTCAAAAGTATAATTTCACAGCACGTTGATGAAAAGAGCATCTGACTTTTCCTGTCCGACATCTGGTAAATGTTAGATTCCTTGAACGAGATGACCTCAAAAATATAAAGAAATCATGCAAATACTCTGGAACTTCGTTATAAATTTTACACGTTTGGGTACATACTCTCAGCCTCGTGTAATTTTCATAAGTGCAACCCAGAATCCCATTGTGATTGATGCCAATTGGTTCAAAGCTAAAGAATTATATATACTTATCTTGTAGCAGAATTAAAAGCAAGTTGAGAATTCAAATCTAAAATTACCTGCAGACCAGTTTAAATGTGAGTCCATTAATATCCCTCATTACTTAACAACTTCTGAATATTCTATTGCAGTATCATCAACCATAATGCTAGGAGCAGGGGTTGATACAGTTGACGTTTTTACTACACTCGCTTAGTAGTTGTGCGTGACAGTCTGTTTGTTTTCGTACACTCATGCTCTACCGTCGTCTCTCTCACACAACAAAAACGGTAGAATAACATTCGAACAAAAAGAAAATTATCAAATAACTATCATATGACATGTGTGATTTCGTTCTAATTCCTCAATTTTGTGCAAAATAAACCATTTCTGATCAGAATTGTTATTACGAGGACATCATTGCTTGCTTTTTTCAGAATTCACACAAGCACAACATCAGCAGCTCTTATTATGAGAAAAACTAAAATACATACATTTGTGACGGTCTTCAGCGACAGTGTCGTATGACAGAGCATGACATTTATGACATTTATGATTTTTTAGTTTGGTACTGTACTATGATTACTCGTTTTGCAAATATCATAGAAATTTTGTCGACTACCGTGACCGCTTACAAGACTGGCTAGGAGCATCGTGAATGTTCACTAGACCTGTTCATTTTAACAGAAATGTTCGGGATACACCGGGTCAACCCTAATTACTGTTCACGGCGGATGAGAACGACCCAAATTTGAGTTTAGTTAACTCATAATCGCCAAAAGTGCAGGAACTCAGCGATGAGTAAAAATTGTCTCATGTTTTTCCAGGATTTTCCAGGGAAAAATTCCCGAATTTGAGAAAAGTAAAGATTGGCTTCACTCAGTCTATTGATACTACTCCTAGACTGAATAAAATTTTCGTCAATTTCCTCATTTTCCGGCATATTTTTTAGGTTTTCCACAGGAAACCATGAGACAAATTTACTCATCGCTGAGTTCCTGCACTTTTGGCGATTATGAGTGAACTAAACTCAAATTTGAGTCGTTCTCATTCACCGTGTTTGTTATGCTAATTTCAACTTTTGTGCAAATTTTCAGCAAAATCGGTGATGATTTAGAGGTGCTTCAAGTTAATTTTATGTTTTAAAGGTAATTTACGGCTTATAATATCTGTATCTCGAGACTGAAACAACAAAAACTGCTGTAACAACACTTTCATATCAAAGCTTAATGTGTTATCTACAAACTTTGTGACGAAAGGTTGCCTATTCAAAGTGATTTTATTGAAGTTTGACTTAGTTTCATGCTCGAAGATATCTTTAAAAGAGAAGAATTTTAAAGTATTTGTTCTACGAACTTTCCACCCATATGATATAAACATGTGTAGTCTACGGCATAATGTTCCTTATACTGTTCTAGAAATTTCGTTCAAACTTAGTTTTCGTGGAGATTCCATAGATTGAGAGATAAAAATCAGAAAAGAGGCCGTTATAGCTAAAATTCACAAGACAACAGAACCAATAAAAGTTTCAATTTGATTGACAGAACATAGTTGCATTACTTTTCAATGACGACCGATGACTGTTTTATTGATAGATGATATTTTTAGAAAAATGAATCCTCAGTAGACGTATTTTTTTTTTTCAACAAAGGCAAGTGTTACTCGAGCCATCCAAAATGTTAGTTATATTATAAATTGCTGTTATGTCTGAGGGTTTCGCTCCATTCAAAATTTTTAGAAACATCCAAGTTAATGCAACGAACGTAATTTTGTAAATTTTCGGTCATATATGAAAGGTAAAATTGAACATCATCAGCCTAGAGATGCTAAGCGCAGTAATCTAAACCTCTTGTCATATTTAAGAGCTCCGATTTAGAATTATTCAATTCAACATGATGCGAACGTCCTGTAAGATATGAAGAAAGTATGTTTACAGAAATTGAATCAATATAGAATAAGCTACGTTGACTTTCAACAAATGTCTGAGGACTGTAGTTCTTGTTGTTCATTGGCTTATCAACTTTTATCAACTACATGTGTTGTCTTCCATGGATGTGAAAATGTTGAAGTTGTAATAATATTTATAATAGTAGAGCATTATAAATTAAAAATCCCTCTGTAAATACATTGGACAATTTAACCATTATCGTTTCGTTTTCAATTTCAGTTTCACCTTGCCAAATTTGAAAGAAAGTTGCTATAATTCCTACGGGAGCATTGATGACATAGTTTATTAAAACTGCTCCAGAGAAGCTAAATTGTTCCAGATCGAAGTGATTTCCATAAACTTCGAATTAAAGTATCCAAAACCTTCGACTAAATTCTCCATTTGTATCCGTAGGTCACACCAAAGTCAAGTTACTGCGTGAAAAATCTCCCAACCGAAACAAACTCACTCAACCCACTGTTTCTCCTCAGCAAATTTCCACTCATGTGCAAAAACTTCTCCACCCTCCTGAACAGCCACTTGTCTGGAAATAGGCAAACAAATATGCACCCACAAAAAATACCAACATGCATCTGTGACCGCCTTCGTCGTAATCACTTTCGCACCGTTTATCACTCTCAAAACACTCCTGCCACTCCCTGGCCTGGTCGTCGCAAAAATGGAAAAAGTTCTCACTGAAAACGAAGAAAAAAAAAAAATCTGAATCAAAGCATTTTCCCTATGCACAGCAGCGAGAATGTGCATCGGCATTTGCTTCCCCCCCGGCAATGGGAGCGCCGCCGTATGAAGTTGCATAGCACTCAGAAGCGAATTTTTCATACCGAAATTGAACTAGAATATGCACCTACGTAGATAGAATAGAAAGGAGCTCTTCTTCAGAGGGGACACACAGGAGAAGCGAGAGAACCTGGATGGGTGCGGAAAATAAGAGAGCATTCTCTTATGCGAAGCATGTTGGTTGCGAAAATTCCCCCTTTTTTTCTGTGTGGACGAAACCGTACAAGTGCACTCGGAGTCGACGGTCGGGAAATTCCTGTCCTGCCGTCTCATCAGGGAGGGAAAATCATCCCAGCCAGCAAGTAGGCACTAGTCCTGTGTGTAGGAACGTACGATAATGAAGAGGCAGCAGCGCACACAGGAGAGTGCGGTGGTCGCACCACTCGCACCGCTCCGCAAATCGAAACCCGTTGGGGTAGGTCAAGAAACGGAAATCTATTTAAAATGAGATTGTGTGTACTTGCGGTGTGTGTGAGCCAGAGAGAAAGAGCGGAGCACAGTGGTGGCACTCGAATTTTGCACGTTCTCATCGAGTGCATTTTTTTTTTATTCATCGCTTTCGACGATTACACCAGTCGCATTCGGTGCCATATGCTCTGTTGATGCTACTGCTGTTTGACTGCGTATTGAGTCGTAATTTAATACATGCACGGCCGTTGAATCCAACTCAAAGTTTTCTGACATTCGCAAAAGCGCATATTCATGGCCTGATAGAAAATTTTCTTCGATTGTCTCCCCGTTAATTTTT